TATAGGTGTGTAAACTCAGCAAAATATTCTAAAAGAGTCCAGTAGTCCACAATAGTACTGGGTGTTACGCTTCACTGGCAATGTCAGAAATTGTTGACCTGAGTCCCCACAGCTCAACATAACAGCATGGCTTTACTTCTTATATTTAGTTTTTATACTTTTCTGCTGGATGGTTAAGACCAAGGTAAAGCAGGACCTATGCAACAAGAGTTATAGCTTTTGGGTCTGATAAGGTCAGTGAAATCCCCTCAGGATTTCTCCTGAGATCCTGTACTTCAGATTGTAGATCCTTTGTCAAGTCAGCCATGTGGATGAGTCACGGCCATTGCTTGGCCAATGTGCTCTCTGTGAAAGCCTGAAAGAATGTTTTCTGTCCATGTGACTCTCCTTAGGCACACTTTACATCATCGATCACTTTCCTCTTTGGCCCCCATAATCTCCTTGATCAGAAAATTTGGGACACTACAAGGCAGAAGGATTTTTTTTTTTCTTCTCCGAATGCCTTCAGGGCAGGTTTGGCTGGCTTGAGTTGTGGGCATCGAACTGGAGCAACCTGAGCCTGACTGCTTTGTTGAAGCAGTCACTTAAAGAACTGAGCTAAGGGGCAGGCCCACCTCCGTGACGAATGTTATTATGTATATCTAAAGCGTACCAATAAAATTTATTATGATTATGATTATTTTGTCTTTTTGAGACAGGGTCTCACTGTGTAATTCAGGCTGGCCTGAGTTGACTTTGTAGCCCAGGCTGGTCTTGAATCTGCAATGAACCTCCTGCCTCAGCCTCCCAAGTGCTGGGATTACAGGCATGAGTCACCACATCTGGCTAATAAAATTAATTTAAAAAGGACACCACTCATTGTACAGTTGAGAAAAGAGATTTCAGAAAACAAGCGGATTAAGCCCACATCATTATATGAAGGGACTGAGACTAGTATTCAGTATGATTTCAGAGTTCCATGTCCTTTCCAAATGCCCCAAGAGCAGGATGGCCAGAGATAAATGGCACCAAAGCAGTCATTCTCCATGGAGAGAGCAAGTCAATTAATATATTTTACTCTTTCATTCAGACTCATTTTCAGGCCAATTTTTTAAAAGAAAAATATTTTTGGCTCTGTCATGCTTATTTGCATCCACATTTTCTGGAGAGGGTGCTAGTGCATATTATAAAGCTGGATGTGTGTATCACGTCTGTGTCACTGTTCGTGTGGGTTACTGGAGCCTGTTGCTAACTCTAGGGGATGTCTACATTCACTTCCTCCCCTCCCTTTCCTTCCCAAGGCTACCTCAGTACTCTGGGCCCATCCCCATATAAGGTCCTGTCTGGGGAAGTTCTCCAGAATTTGTTGCTCCCGAAATCCCCACACCCTCCTCTTTTGGAGCATTTTTAGAACTGGTGGTTTCCTGCAGCTGTCAGCTGTTTACTCTTGCTGCCAATAACTTTGACTTCTCCCCAGCAACAGTCAGTGGGGAAGGTATTCAATTGGCTCACAAGCATTTTCTTTAGCCAATCAAATGCTAACATATTGAAATTCACTTCCTTGCCACATTCACCCTAACCAATAAGAGGCTGGTTTTGTCCCTTGCTGGCTGTCAATGTGGCATTTTATTATTATTATTATTATTATTATTATTATTATTGCTTCCAACTGAGTTAAGTCTTTTTATTCTTTTGGTAATCTCTTCCAGGGTTAACTACTTCCATTGTAGGTGATGAAATATGTAAGGCTCCACTTCAAATGTTGGCACTGCTATGAACATAGTCTCTTTCCCTTCTCTGCAACTCAGAATTAAAACTTTGATTCTTGTTTTATATTCCAGTCTCAGAAGTAGTTCCACTGCAGAAGTTATTTGCAGACAGTCTTATGCTTTTTAGCAGTGGTCTCTGACCAGGTTCTATCTTCTCCATGAACACTACCAATTGACTTGGTTTAGATATGTATTAAACTAAGAGGCATTCTCTCAAAAGAGTTTAAATGCACTTTATTTTTAGACAACCTACATGACATGTTTTTTCCCTAAAAAACAATGCCTCCACTCCAAATAAATCACTGTCAAAATAAACGAAGCGTTCAAGATGACATCAGTCCCATTTGTCTAAAATCCTAGTGTTGTGTAGATGACAAGCAGCAGCCAGTTATGACAAGTGATAGATCCAAGGTTAACATCAAATCCGTTAACATTTTTCCATTTCTAAACCATTCTTAGGGCCGGGGAGATTGCTCAGTAGAATAAGCGCTTTCCTGGCAAGTGGAAGGGCCGGAGTTCAATCCCCGCCCCGGAAAAGAAAAAAAAAAACTTTCCCTCAATCTAAACCATTCTTAAAGAAAATCATCAATGGGGTCACACCATCCTCACGGTAGTCCAGGAGAGCAACCATGCCATCTGGATTCATGTTTGCACCAATAAAGAACTGATAATTTTTGAAATTAGCAAGGATGTGCTTGATTTGCTTTGCAGCCCCTGTCATAAACCGTTTTACTCTTTCTGGTATTTGTTCTTCAAGTTTGCCTTTGATTGATTTCATATAATCTTTGATGTATTTTTTGTAGGCCTCTTTTGTGAAGCTGGTTTCCTGCAAGTGATGGTTCATTACAATATCTACACCAGTGACTACTGTGCTTTCGGTGCCTTCGCCCTCTGGGCCTTCAGCGGAGGCATTGCCACCAATGAGCGCGTCGTCAATGACACACTCTGTTCTACTGACCGTCTTGCCCTCCACCTCCAGGCACAGCCCGTCCGCGATCTCCCGGATCTTGTAAATGTCGGAGAACATCTCATCGTGGCTGATGAGGTCCCGGTAGATAATCATGATGGTGGCTGAGGGAGGTGGCGGCCGCGCAAGCTTAGCAGGAGCCGGGAGCTCAGAGCGAGCTTGGTGCAGCCCGAGCGGCGCTAGGGGGGAGGGGGGAGCGGGCGGGAAAAAAAGCGGCATTTTTTTTTTTAATGTATTTGGTACAGTGTCTCACTACGCAGCTCAGATTCATAGTGATTCTCCTGTTTTCAGCCACTCCAGCACTGGGATTACAGGCATGCGCCACCACACCCAAAATCAGTGGCTGGCTCAGCGTCTCTGGGGGTGGAGCCCACGCAGCAATGTGGTATTTCAGAAAACAAAATACTGTAGTATTGTATGGAGATGAAATAAGTGATGGAGTAGAAATGTAAATGTCCATTTCTCGGCACTTTCCAGAAATCCTGGTTCTCCCACCTCCACCACAAAAATAATGGTTGGACAGATGCCCAGATTTCCTCTGTTCTAACCACAGAAGCAGAGAGTCTCCGGGGCAGGAGGAACTTACAGAAATGAGCCCACTTCCATTATTGTCCCTGTCTTCTCCTCCCTTCCAACACGTATGCATGCACAGCAGTCAGCATCTCATGGCTGTCCTAACTCTGCTTGAACTTCGCTAGGGATGAGGCATGCACTTCCTCGCCAGTCACTCTCCTTTACCAGAGCCTCCTCCATCGCTCTTTTCATCTCTAACATCAGAATCTCAAGCAATTTCAGTGTCTTCTTTCTTGCTGTTATTCCTGTTTCTGAACCTGATGTATACCCACACCCTACTAGCTCAGGACCTTGGCAGCAGAAGTAGGCAGGTGGGGAGACAGAGGTCTCCTGGGTTCTCACCGGGAGGTATGTGCTCCCTGCAGCCCCCCACCCCCTTTAGGGGAAGTTTTTATTTTTTTATTTTTGGCGCTGAGGACCAAACCCAGAGTGTCCAGCTTGCTAGGCAATCATCCTACCACTGAGCCAAATCCCCAACTCCAGTTCCCCTATAAAAATCTGAACTTTAGGACACTAGGTGGAGTCTATAACCTGGATCTGGGAGGGGTGCTACAGAAATGATTTTTTAAAGTTGTATTTCTTTTTTTCTTTTCTTTTCTTTTTTTAACATTTATTGTGTGTGTGTGTGTGTGTGTGTGTGTGTGTGGCCAGCTCAGCCCACCTGGGGGCGTGGCTGGCTGGTATGTGGTGCTGGGGGATCGAACCACGGTCCCTGTGCTTTGCCGAGCTTGTTCCTAGTAGGTGCTTTAGACCACTGAGCCATCTCTCCAGCCCCAGAAATGATTTTTTTTTAAATTTTTATTTTATTTGTGGAACCAGGGATTGAACACAGGTCCTTGTGCTTGCCAGGCAAGTGCTTATTCTACTGAGCTATCTCCCGGCCCCTAAATTTTTTGAAAGAAGTGATCATTTAAAGGCTGGGCAGATAGCTCAGCTGATTAAAGCACCTGCTTAGGCAGACACAGGGACCCAGGTTTGATCCCCAGCGTGCTGTGCTGGCCCCACCTCCAGGGTGCACTGAGATTGTGACTGAGACCGCGACTGGAACTGAGGCTGGGCGTAATGGTGCCTGTAATCCCAGCACTTTTGAGGCTCAAAAACAGGAGAATGACTACAAGTGTGATCTATGTAGTGAGACCCTGTATACCCTGTACTATATAAATACAAAAAGAAAAAGAAAAGAAGGGATCATTTTAGAAAGCATCTGGGCTTTGCCTGACATTGAACACTAGGTGCCCATTATTTCTTTTTGAAGAGCTTGCTCTTTCTCTGCCTTCGTTTCTCTTATTTTCCATCCACTTCTCTACCTATTCAATCATAGAGGTAGCCGCTATCATTTAAAAAAAGAAAAAGGACAGAAAAAAACCCACTTTTTTTTTTATCTCAGTAAAAACCCTACCCACTAAGCAAAGGATTTCTTAAAATAGTACATACAGAAGCGATTTACAAAGGGTGAATCACTGAGAGCTCTTAAGAAAGTGAGAAGGAAAAAAGAAAGAAAGACAGTGAGAAGGGCTATGAGAATTACCAGCTCTGAGGACCCAACCCAAGGCATACCCTCCTTCCCCGCAGAGCCCATTCAGTCCAGGGTTCGGCCTTTGCCCTGTTCATCTTGCCCTTGTCTTCCAGTTCCTTGTATTGTCCCATCATTTGTTTTCCTCTGAGACTGCAATGCAAGCTCCTTCAGGATGTGGGCATATATTGTGTTTGTGCCTCACAGTAACTCCGCATAGAGCTCTGCTCATTGTACCATGAGCTCATAGCATCAAGGTCCTTGAATGCATTCTTGGTGGTCCCACTTTTGCTAATTAGATAGAACAATTGACAATAACTTGGCCTCAACCCCCTGTCCCATTCCCATCTCCTTCTTCCTGGTTGGGAGGAGACCAGGGCAAAAGCCCAGCCAGCAGTAGGGCCATGTTGACTGAGAGAGGCGTGTGGGTGGCCCTTTTCACACTGTCACAGTGGCAGCAGGCATGGTGCCGGGTGGTGTAAAGTACAGGGCATAATGTAAGGCTCTGCCTGGGGCAGACCTCAGCTCAGCTCCAATGAACAGGGCACACAATCTCCACTGCCAGCCTCTGCCCTCCAGTCCCAGCTCTGTACCCAAAACCACACTAGGCAGCCCAGCAGGGGTGCCATGGCAGTGTGGCACCTTAGTCCTTCCACCCTTCCCTCCCCACCCTCCGCTCAGGGTCTTCTTTTCCTGTAGCTGCTCTTTCCCCTTCACTCTTGGTCTATTACCTGACTCCCAGCAGTCCTTCTGCCACTCAAAACTCCAAACTTTTACAGCATCTGCCCACTGCCCTTTCCCACCTGGTCCCATGCACGACTCACACAGGTTCTCGCACCAGTGAAGTCACCTGCGCAGACAAGTGGAGCCTTCCCAGCACTTCACTGTTCCTCTTGTATTTGGCTACCCTCTGGCCCTGCTTCATGCTGTTTTTTGTTTTGTTTTATTTTTTATTTTATTTTATTTTTTTGGTGGTAGTAGGGATTGAACTTGAGACCTTGTGCTTGCCAGGCAGGCATTTATGCCACTGAGCTGTATCCTCAACTCTTTTTTTTTTTTTTTTTTTTTGCGGAACCGGGGATTGAACTCAGATCCTTGTGTTTGCCAGTTAAGCACTTATCCTACTGAGCCATCTCCCCAGCCCCTGTATCCCCAACTCTTGTGCTGTTCTTTTTACTTCATCACCTGTCCCCAAATGGGCCACATCCTGTCCCTCCTATTGACTTCGCTTCTAACCCCACATCTCCAAAGATGTCTTCTGGGGACCCTGTCCCAGTCACCCAGTAATCCTAAGAATAACCGTTCACACTGCCAGACCATTACTACTCAAAAATACAGAAACCCTTGCACCTAGAACAACACTGTGGGAACAGTTACTTTTAATCCAATCAGTGACCCAACACCCCCCAGCTAGTGAGATGCTGGCCCCCAGCCCAAATTCAGATCCATGGGCATTTCCTATGTCAACAGCCCTGCTGTTGACAGTACTAAGTAACCACAGCTGCAGTTTGTTGCGCACCTACCAGGTGCTGTGCATTGTGCTAGTTCTTTATTTACATTATTTAATCCACACAACAATGAATCTCTAAGGAGGTATTATTATTGGAAAATTAGAAAACCAATGCTCAGAGTCATGGAGCCGAGATGCAATCCATATTTGACTCAAAAGGAGCACATAAATAGCAGAATTCAACATACATCTTACAAATATGATCATCTGTCACTCCCTGAAGGCCTAGCCTACCCTTGGCCTTTCCTCTCCCAGCAAATTAAATTCAGAGAGAGGAAAGCAGGGCAGGTTGTACCTCATACATAAGCACACACACACACACACACACACACACAAACGCATGCACGCGCGCACGCACGCACACACACACCACTTACACTTATCATTGACACCCTGGATTGCCGAGCCAGGGCAAGTGCTATGAGGAGGTCAGTTTCCCCAGGTCTGTAGTCTTTGTCCCCTTCCCTGGTGCTAAATGAAAGTGAATAAATACTTAATAAATACAATCGGGGCCCAGGACTCACCCTGCCTTCCCCTTGCCACCTGTGGCCAGTAGGGAAGAGGAGACTGTCTCCTAGCCCCTTTCCTGCACTAACCCATCCCTATCCCCCAGGGCAGGAGACAGGGGCAAGGCCAGCCTGCACAGCAGGCCAGAGAGGAGGGTGGGCCACACCCACAGTCCCTCCCCGCTGTGTCTTAGCATGAGGCGGCAGCAGAAGCCCCCTCATTTTCCCAGCTGAGTCCGAGGCCCCGGCTCCCAGAAAGGGCTGCCGGGATGGTGAGGTTATTTCCTGCCCACCCAGGGGCGCCGCCGGAGGATTTCCAGAATCTGTGCCCGGCGGTGTAGCCAGTCCTGCGGAGGCGGGCGTGGTGTGGAAGGGACTGGCTGGGGCACAAAGAAGCTGTACCGAAGGCGAACATTCTGTGGGTGGCCAGCCACCAGGGCTTGTAGCGTCAAGGGCTGGGCCAGTGGCCCATGGCCTGACAGGGTCTCTGAGGCTGCAGTGGCCCCGCTGTAGTGCAAGCTGACCGCCCCAGGCAGTACCACATCTGTGGGAGAGGGCATCAGTGTGTATTCACCATTCAAGGCATAGGAACCATCCTCAAGCTTCAGGGCCAAGTAAATGTTCCGAGGACCAGGGGGCCCTTGTTGTCGAACAAGGATGTGAGTGGCCCCTGCGGGGATAGTGACCACGGTGTTGTATCCATACCTGTGTGGAAGGAGCAGATGGGGAGCTCAGCACCTCCTGAGTGCCCTCAGCCTTCTGCACTGTCACCTGACATGTGTGTGTGCACAGAGGCTTGTCTCCCCTCTGATGTGAGCTGTGCAAGCCTAAGTCAGAGCTACACAGACAGGCACCCTTTGCCCTCCTATCTCCAGACATTGCTGCCAGCTCCCCCCGTACACAGGTGCCTTCTCAGCCCCACTTCCCTGCTGCCTATCCAGTTCCTATCTCCTTCCAAGACTCAGCTCAGCGGTCACCTCCCAAGGACATCTTCCTGGTGCTGAACACGGACACTGCACTGTAACTTCCAACTCCTTGATCTCCCTGCTATGCTAGGGAAACAGGTAGTTCATAGCTCTCTCCTCAGAACCCAGAACAACATCTAGGAGGGCAGAAAGGGAAAAGAAATGATGAAGGAACCTGAATTTTTTGAAGGAGCCGGACTGCTTGCTGCAGCCAGAGCCATCCCCGCCGCACACCATGCACTTGTCGAACTTCTTTTTGGAGCCAATAACGCGGTCACAGCCAGCATGGATGCAGCGGCCCTGGACACAGACTGAGGAACTGTCTGGAGAACAGGGAGTCCCATCTACTACCTGGACAGAAGAGATGGGACAGTGTAAGTGGTTCTTCCTAAACCGGAAGGACAGGAAAACCAGACAAGACTCAGGTCCCATGGGGCATCAGAAAAGCTGATGATGTGTGGGGCAAGGAAGGTGTGCAGGGTGAGTCCCAGCCACTGCGTAAGACGATAATTAATATAATTATAAAATCCACTACTTTCACCAGGCATGGTGGTACATATCCATAATCTCAGCACTCCTGGACCCTCCAGCTGGAGGATCACAAAAGTTTGAGCCCAGCCTGGGCAATTTAGCAACTCAGTGAGACTTCATCTCAAAAGTAACAAGAGCGCTGGGACGTAGTTTAGTGCAAAGGTATCAGTTCTTAATACCCCCCAAAACATTTTTAAACAGGTCATGAACCAGGCAGTGTATCAAATCCTTTATAAAAATGAACATAGGGGCTGGTGAGATGGCTCAGTGGTCTAAAGCACCTACTTAGAACAAGCTTAGCAAAGCACAGGGACCATGGTTCAATCCCCCAGCACCACAGGCCAGCCAGCCCCGCCCCCTGGTGGGCTGAGCTGGCCACACACACACACACACACATAAAAATTTTTTTAAAATGAACATAAAAATCTTCCAAACTATTATTTGAGGTTTCTATAGATGAAACATTTAGAAAGATCAAGGAACTTGCCTAAAGCCTACATAAACAACAGGCTAAGGTGCAAGGTGGAAATTTTAGCTTTTGGTCCTGAAACCAAGTCCTAAACCTAAACCTGATGCTACTGCCCCACATAGACGCTAGAGGGCGCCAACCAACAGGCATTCTCCGCAGATGGGGGAAGGTAGGGAGGGAGCTAAAGACTGCTAAAGCTGGCTTTCTTCCACCTTCACCCACCACTCCTGATTCATACAGAGGTAGTATAGGGGCGTCAGTCATCTCTAGGAAGCCTGTCTATCGAGGGACTGGCTGTCCATGAGCCAACTGCTGCCATTACTGTAGCTTGACAGCAAAACTGATAGAGTCAAGTACTTACCCAAAGGCCACAAACTTTCATTCTCCCCAAATGCAGGGCAAGGAGATGGGGTGGGGACCAAGGGTGGGAGGATGTGACAGGCCAGAGCAGCCTCCCTGGCCACTTATCCATCCTACAGCTTATTTTCCTAATACACATGGACAGGTAGGTCTGTGGCTGTGGGAAAGCCAGCAGGGCTGTGTTTTTTTTTTTTTAAAGCTACAACTCTTTTTTTTTTTTTTTTTTTAATTTTTATTTATTTATTTATTTGAGAGAGAGAGAGAGAAAGAGAGAGAGAGAGAGAGAGAGGCCAGCTCAGCCCACCAGGGGGCGGGCTGGCTGGCATGTGGTGCTGGGGGATTGAACCGCGGTCCCTGTGCTTTGCTAAGCTTGTTCTAAGTAGGTGCTTTAGACCACTGAGCCATCTCACCAGCCCAGGGCTGTGTTTTGAAGGATTTTTGCCATCAGAAAGCAAAGGGACAAATGGGATATCTGAGTATAGACAAGGTGGGGTCTTCCTGGCCCTTACCCGTGGTTTCAGCACATAGTAGTAGCCCAGGGCCTGGGCCTGGCAGGTGAGTTTGCACTGGTCCCGGGGGGCCACACCGGCATAGCGAGGAACCCAGTCCATAGGTCCTGGGAAGTTCTTTAAGAGGTCATTATGATGGTTGAAGGCAGCACACTGCTCCTCACGGAAGGTCAATGCTAGAGGGGTGAAATGGACAGTCAGAGCCCCTCTCCTCACACTGCCTCCCCAACCCCAAAACCTCTTCAGCTAGCCACTCAGAACCCTAGACACCATAGCATGTCTACCCTCATAGACTGCTAGGGACAGTTCCAGAAAGGTAAAGTCACTCCATGCCAACAGCTGGGTCAAACAACAATAGTTGGTTATTTTAGCCCAGGCTGGCCTCAAACAGTCGAATTCTCTGCCTCAGGCTCCTGAGTCCTGGGATTTTTGCCGGCATGTACCATCACGCCCCACTGACACCTTGCTCTACCCTCCCTCAGGTGAGGGAAGGAACCCAGCGGTCCTCTCACCTGAGCCAGTTGGACAATTCTGAGTGTTGCAGGAGCGGAAGCGAGTGCGACGGCCTTCACAGTACTTTCCACCATTCCGGGGGACAGGCTTTGTGCAATCCCGGGAAGAGAACTGGACACCACTCCCACAGCTCCGAGAGCAGTCGCCCCATGGGCCCCAAGGACCCCAGCCACCAGCCTGTGGAACCTGTAGAAGCACAAATTGGGCAGGTGGGATAAATGTACTCTCTCCTGGGCTTATGGAGTCTCCACTCCCAGGCCCTTTACCGCCCCTGCCTCCTGCCCTCACATTGAAGTCTTTGAGCTGGTCCACATGGAGGCAGCGACCGCCCATGCAGGCCTGTGTGGGCCCACAGGGGGTGCCGTCGGCCCAAGGTGAGTGCTTGGTTTGGCACATGGCATGGCCATTGAGGTGGCCAGAGCACCAGAGAGCAGCACAGGGTGGTGGCAGCTGTGGACAGTGGTGCGAGTCAGGCCCAAAGGTCAGCTGGCACTGGCGGTCTGCGTCATAGTCCTTGCCAGGAAAAGTCACAGGCAGACTCAGGGGAGCCTCTGGCTTGTCTAAGAGACAGTGTCCTGGAAGGAAGTAGAGGCACAAAGTCAGCCAGGGGCCAAGGGCAGCCTTCAGAATGCACAGCTGAAATTCAGGCTTGCTAGGGCCTGGGGGATCATTCCCCCCCCAAAAAAAAAGTCCTAGGGCTCTACGAGGCTTTAAACAGCAGCTATACTTTATTGGATGCTTATTATGTGGTGAGCACAAGCTAAGTGATATTTAATTGTGGCAAATACCTAGGAGGTAGGTATTATACCTCGTTTACACCTAGTTAATACATAAGCTACAAGCAACAAGAGGTGAAATAGCCAGCAGTTACCTCTGCACATACCTAAGGGACAGAGGCAGGACAGGAGCCTGAAGCACTGTCTTCCTATGTTACCTGCTGCAGGATCTTTGCATCTGTTTCTCAGCAGCAGCTCTGCCTAGTGACAGTTGAGCTGCTTGCTCTTCTTGCATAGCACACTGGGTGACAAAGTAGTCACCTCCTTCACATCTGCCCTGTCACAGTGTTGGACAGGTCTGGCCCTCAGAAGTCCAGTTCTAACTCTCTGAGCCAAAACTTTGCTCCCCTCACGGGGCCATTTATTTTGGTAGGAAGTGGGAAGCACACAGACAGCCATTCCTTCACCCTCCACGTGAAGAAGCAAGTAGAGGGAGCGGTGTGATGTGACTGAGCCCTTCCCAGGAAAAGGTGAGGGCCATCTACTTACCATAGCCATTGTCCAGGAAGTCCGTGATGAATTGGGCACTGCAGGGGGACCAGGGCTCCTCAGGGTCCACGTGTGCCATCACGGGGGCCATGACATGGTGGGACTTGCTTCCTTGTACATTCAGACTGCTGCATGGCTTGGAGTTGTCATGAAGCATGTTGAAGACGTGGCCTGGGAGAGCAGAGGGCCTGCTAGTGTCCAGGGGCCCACCCTTGCACCTTGGCGGGGTTCCCTTGTGAATGCGGTTGCAGCTGGAATGCTAGTCCCCACTCCACCTTGCCCCAATCTCCTTCGGATGCCGACTGCTCCTAACATGGAGGTCTGACTTCCCTCCCCCAAAGGAGATTCCTTGCCTTTCACATTTTGTTTAGAGCAAATACTTCTAGCCCAGAAACCCTATTCCCTCATTGTCTCCTCCTCTTCCTCCACACACACACACACACACACACACACACACACACACACCCCTTTCGTGGTAAGTACTCACATACTGTCTTATTTAATAGGAAAATTTTAGACTTAGTTGTGGAGGTAGGCCTGAGGAGGAGGAAGAAATACCTTGGGGCCACCATCTGTACCCTGGCCAGCTCACAAACCCCTTGTTCATGTACCCTTGGTGCTCCCTGGTCCCAGCTCCTCCTTACCTAGCTCATGTGCAGCAGTGAAGGCTGACTGGAGCCCATCGTCCTCCACCACAGCACAACTCCGAGCTGGGTCACACACAGTACCCACATCGGCCATACCCAGGGTGTCACAAGTGGAGACCCCACACAGGTCCTGTGGAGAGGGGTCAGAGAAGACACATTGGAACAGCCAAGACTTACATCCCATAGTGCTGGAATCTGGATTGTTGTGGGGGCCTGGGCTCTGAGGACCCAGTGCTGTCAGGGGCCAGAGAGCCCCACATGGCAGGCACCATTTCCATCACAGTCATGGAGTGGTGCCTCTGGGCAGTGCAGTACCCACCTGGGGTCCTGACTGGGGCCTCACCTGACGGGTAAACAGAATGGCAGTGTCAAAGTGGTCAGGGTCCGAGTCCTCGGGGGTGTTGAGGCCCTGCTGCCAGGCACAAAAGCTGCGTAATGTCTGGGCGGCACTGGGCCCCACCTGGGGCCCCTCCTGGCCTGACCCCAGAATCACCAGTCGTGTCACCACTAAGCTGACAGGGTTGCGGATGCTTGGGTGCTTGAAGGCCTTGGCGGCTGCTGCCATAACTGTCAGCAGGTAGTGCTTCAGTCCTGCTCCGTGGAATGCTGCCATCTTGTCATCGGCCACCACCAGGGTCTCCACAAATCTACTCAGTGAAGCAAAGCGCTAGAGAGGAAGAGGGAGAGGAGGATCCTGAAATAGCCTCCCAGCCCCGTGGATCGCTTCTCCCCTCCCTCACTTCCTGGGCCTGGAAATAAGCAGAGCCAGCTGGGCCCTGCATAACCCCTGGGATTCCTGACAGTCTGGGTTGAGCCCTCCCCTCAACCCCAAATCCCTGGGCTTTTGTGGTAATGCGGAGGAATCAGCTGTTGGTTCTGAAGGGGAGGAGAGAGATGCCACGTCCCAGGGATGTGTGGGCCCCCAAGTTTAAAAGCCACTGGGTTGCCTCTGGGAGGGGCTCTGGGGTACCCCAGGCCTGAGGATGTATGGCTTGGGCCTGTGGGACTTGGATTGGAGTGTGGGGCTGCAACGTGTCGGAGGAACAATTCAGTCAGCAGCTAGGGCTGGAGCCAGATCTCAGCGTGGCGGGTGTAGAGGGAGGTCTGGTCTGGATTAAAGCTTAAAGCAAGGGAGGGAAAGGGGAGGATGTTAGGGAGAGGGGGAGTGGTGGTCTGAGAGTGGGAAGAAGGAAAGGATGGAGCCCCAGGCAGCCTCACAGTCACTCCACTGAGTGGGATGGCCACTGACCAGGAGGCACAGAACTCTTTCTTACCCTGCCCACTCCTGTCCTAGTTCGCAGTTTGCCAGGACACTTTGGAAGACAGCATCAGAAGCCAGAGGCCAATTCCTCTGGCCTGGCCTCAAACCTCACTCCTTTAGCTGGGTGTGAGGGTGCAAATCATTGGGGCAGAGCCAAAGCCAAGGTGCTGTTAGAGCTTTATTCCTGGGGACAGTGCCAGTGGGAGATACTATGGCCAGCAGGGAGGAAGGAAGGGGGAGCAGTCGTTTCCAGCCTAGTGTATGTGACCCGCTTCTAGGAACCCTCAGAGTGGGTTTGATTAGAAGGGTTGGGCACAAAGGCCAGAGCCTTCCCAAGACAGGAGGTCAGTGGAGAGAAAGGAGAGAGGCAAACAGAAGAGAGGGGAGCAGACGGCCTGAAGCAGAAGTGGGTGAGGACAGGGTGAATGGGGTCAGTGGGACAGACATGGAGGGAGGATATGGCAGGACACACCAGGGTTGCCTACCTTGGCTCTTCGGGGGCTGGGATGGGGACTCCTAGGAGGAGCCTTGACATTGCACATGGGACCCTGGTCGCTGACAGGACTCTTCCGGCGAAGGATATGAGCTCCTGGCCCCCCAGCAGAGTTAAGGGTGCCCCCTTCCAGGGGCTGGAGGTGGAGCTCAGCCCCTCGGTACTGCAACACCCCTAATAGGGCTCCCCCGTCCCAGTGCAGGGATGCCACCGACTCCGGATCTCCATTGATGGTGCCGGTCAGGTAGGTGCCCCGCTCCACTCCGCTCAGCAGCTCAGGCGCCTGGCCTAAGTACTGCACAGTGAGTCCCTCGACCCGCACGCCGGGATCCTGCTCCAGCTCCAGCAGCAGCGTCTCCCCAAAGGCCGGCAAGCGATATAAGAGTCTGGCCGGGGCGTCCGAACCAGGCAGGACGCTGCCGTTGAGCTTCTCGGGAAACACGATCTCCTCCTCCCGGGGGAGGGGGCTGGCCGGCCGGGCTGAAGGCAGGAGGGAGACCAGCAGCAGCAGCCCTAAGAGAGGTGCCGCGGGGGGCAGCAGGCGGGGTTGGACTTTCCGCGGCTCGCGCCTGGCCAGGCCCCTCCCGGGATGTGAGCCTGCAAGGGACATGGCACAGGGGCTGCTGCTGGCAGGGACCAGGTCCTCTACACCCTAGCTACAGAAAGCTCCTGTCTAAAGCTTAGGGCTCCCTCGCGCTAGGCCACAGGCAGTTTTCAGAGGGAATGAGGACCTTCACGGGAGACGGAGAAAACTTAACCCTTCTAATTAAGTGAGCCGCTCAGGGGTCGCTTCTCCAAACTCTCCTCCTGTGCCCTGCCCTGTCTTTCTCCTGCCCAAAGCTTCTCTCTCGGTAGGACTCTGGCTGCGTCTCGGTGTTTGCCCTGCCTCTGCCTCCTTCCGTTGTGCCTTTGTCCCAGCCTCTCCTCTGTCTCTCTGTAACTAAGTGTTGGTGGGTCTCCCCGTGGGCTCTCCGCAGCCTCTCTCCGCGCCAGCTTTTTTAAGTAACCAGAGCTCTGCGATTGATTGGCTAATCTGTAAGCCACTCAGTCAGGAGTTGTGCCAGTGGCTCTGGATGAGTGGATGGGTGTCTCATTGCTTCCCAAAATCTTCGTTTTCTTTCTTTTTTGTTTTGTTTTGTTTTCCTTAATTAAAAAAAAAAAAAAAAAAAAAGGGACTTGCCCAGGGGAGGGGGAGGGAACTCTTTAACAGCTGGATGAGTTTTAAAGACTGAGCCAGCTGACCACACAGCCTTTTTTTCCCCAAATTCCACAAGGAACCCTCAGCTGTCTCTTTCTTTTTGGTGAGACAGAACCCCAGGGGAGGCATGGAGGCAGAGAAAGGGCCTGGCCAACACAGATCATGTCCTGGGAGGATTTCTGCTCCTACTGTCTGACCCTTCTTGGGCTCTCCTTTCTCAAGGCTTCTTCACACTGCCCTCTGCTCCCAGAGACTGATTTCCAGGACCAAGTGGGGAAGAGGTAAGGAAGAAGCGAGAAGGAGGTAGCTTGACATGGCTCAGGGTGGGACCAAACAGCCAGCCAGAGAGGGCAGAGGACAAGTCAGGGGGCAGGAGACTGTGATCAGGAGGTTCATTGCCCAAAGATAGGATGATTCTTCTGGAATGGGTATGTGGAAGAAGCAGACTGTCAGCAGGACTTAACTTTTCTTTTTACAGTAGGCTCCAGGGTGGCATCTCAGGCTTCATAAGTTACCCACTCCCAGCCCTTGGGCACCCTCCACACCCCAACTGCCATCCCAGCCTCCATTTCCCTTTCCCAGGGCTCCTCCTCCCCACTTCCTGACTCCTCATTTCCCAGGCCCAGTTCCCAACAGGCTCTTGGCCCTGTTCCTATGTGGTCCAACTGTCTTCAACCCTCCCCCAGCTTCAAGTCAGTCAGCACCTCATGTAGGCAAGGACTTGCCCTCAGGAGCCAAGAATTACCCAGTGTCATTCTAAGGGAATCCCCACCTGGCTCCCTTCTCTGTCCCTGTCACACCCTGAAAACCTGATAGTTCCTGGAATATCTAGTAATCTTTGATTTCTCATTCTCCTTGTGGTAAGGAAAGTGGTAGGGAAAGTGCCTAGGGAGCAGAGTTGCTGTTAGAGAAAAGAAGCAAATGATTCCATTGGTTTTGGATTGGAGGCGACTCAGACAAGAGGTCTTAGGGTAGACTCTCAAGACAAAGAAGTCAAAGGTTCAGAAATCTGGGGCAATTTCTGCTCACACCATTCCACAGCTACTGTTTCTCCCGGAAATCCCCAGGAAGGAGAGTGTAAATCAGCAGTCCCTTCCCTTTCCCAGAGGGGGACCACCTCCCCCTGACCCCATCCCCTTATTCACTCTCTGCCTGGTCACCTCCTGTTCTCTGCATCATATCCCCTGGAATACTTCCTCTCCTCCTCCCTTCCTGATCAGGTCACTAAGACCTGCCCTGGTACCCATCACTTCCCATATTACCTACCCATGTGATTACTTACACCCATTTTTGACCCATTACAGGCCCTAACCCTCTCTGGTCCTAAGTAGGGGCTGGGGCTGGGGTTATAGGGACATACAAGGATGGGGCGCCAGAGGAACAGGGGCAAGAGGAGCTATCACCGGAGGGCTCTCACTGCCTCTTTCCATCCCCCCATCTGAAATGAGGACAAAGGGAGTGACTAAGCAGAGAAAGACAAAGGGCCTTAGAATGGCAGCAGCAGCTTGTGTGTGTGTGTGTGTGGGGGTGTTAGCGGTAGGGAGAAGGCACAAAAGATGCAGTGTCCTAGGCAGCCCCCCAAGAGTCCTCACCACAATCCCAGCTGAAGTTGCCCCCTGGGGCCACACAGCCCAGAGTCTATCCTGATTTCTAGGCTGGATTAAGTCAAATAAATGCAGTCTCCCCCCCCCCCCCCCATTTAGTGTTTCAATTGTCAAAGGAGAAAAAGCCAAGGAAAGGGTGAGGAATGTGGAGGGCAAGAGACCAAGCCTCTGCTCTGGCTCCGTGGGGGCTGCTGTCGATCCCAGGTCCTGGTCAGTTCCCACAGCCAGGACTCTGGCCCCACCCTTTGGTATGGTTCCCATTAGGTCAGTTCTCAGGCTAGAAGTCTGGCTTTCTGCTTTCTTTGCAGCAAGGAATTCTCTGTCTTTGCCACTCCCCTGCTCTGTCTGTTCCAGCCTGCTACACTGCTGGTGGGCTGTGTCCCAGGGACCATGTCTAGGGAAGAGAGGAGGCCTCTTTCCAGTCTCAGGGTGAGAAAGTTGCATAAACTTGGTGGGTGGGTGGGCCAGCTGGAGCTGAACTTGGAGCCACAGGGAGAGACAGGAATTGACCTTGGAAGCAGATAACCTTCCTTTGTCTAGATTGGGATCAGCGACCTGGTGCTTTTACACTTTTACCCTATTGACCACAACTGGGACGGACTGTGACAGCATGGGAAAGATGTGGGAAAATAGACTGGGTAGGGTGGACTTGGGGCACGAGGCATCTCTAAGGGCGTTGACCCAATCTGTGATTCAGGAAGCCCTAAGGATGCCAGGGTCAAACACCCCCCCCTCCCCCGTCTGGGATGAAGTAGCTCCCCACACCCTGCACTCCTCTCCTCCAAGTCAACGTTGGTGGCCTTGGCATCCCTCCCTTTTTCTGTTTTGGTTTGGCAGGAGCTGTCAGGCCTGCCTACCCACAATTGGGCCCCTTTTCCTTATCCCTACTCGGGGCATCTGGAAATCAGCTGGCTTTGGCTGCTCTAAATCTTCTGGTTTCCCTCATTGGGAGGTAATTGCTAAGGGTTAGGAGCAGACACGGTCTTTGTTGAGTACTACAGCAGGAAGCGGGCGTGGCAGAAGGGGGTAGGAGTGCGCGTCTAGGAAGGGCGGGAGAGCTCGGGAAGGGGAGCAGGTCTCCCTCACGAAGAGACCTTTAGAAAAGCCCTGAGACGGTCCGCCCTCAGTAAAGATGACAGCAGTCACTATTATTTAAGCGTAAGCGAAGCCAAGGCGCAGAACCCGGAAATTGTCAGGTTCGTGAGTGACGGGCCTGCCCACTTCCAATATGGCGTCCCCGTTGTGTTAATGTACGGGAAGCCCACATGGAAGCGCGCATGAGTCATTTCCGCCCGGTTCTCCTTCCCACGGGCTGCAGCCAGGGTAAGATGGCGGCGCTGAGGGCTCTTTGCGCCCTGAGGGCCGTTGGGGTCCAAGTGCTGAGGCCCGGGCCCGGGGTCCGACTGCCTGTTCAGCCCAGCAGGTGAGACCGAGGGCCGCCCTTGACGCGTTGTCCCCAAAGGTAGAGTTTCTCGAATCTGAAATCCCTGCGTGGGCCCTGTACCCCCGCTCCCCCGGGAACAGAATGACCCAGGTCTGTGACCCTCATACCAGGCCTGATTTCTCCCGTTCTAAAATGCTGTAGCGCCCACTGCGGCCGAGAAAAGGAAGAGGGTTTTGAGCCCGCTTTGCTGAAAATGAGTGGAGTGCAAGACCCTGCCTTTCAACTGCAGTGATTTACGTTCGCGTTTATTCAAGAGCTCTGCAGAGGACCCAGAACTGGCCCATTCATTCTCTTTCTCTTCGTAGTCCTAGGTGATCTTTAAATAAACACTTTTCTCACGTTCATATTCACCTGGATGGGAATGAGTCTATGTTGAGAACGTGAAGGCGCTGGGATCCCCAAGCTTACATGCACAAGGGTGATGGGTGAAGTAAGTCCGGGCATGAGTTAGTAGTAGGAATGGAATCTAGAATTCCAGCTTCTTTAGCTTGTCACTAACATGGCATTGAAGAATCCAAGACGTCCTTCCTTGGGACCTCTTGAGCGTGAAGAGAACTGAGGAATCAAGGATTGTTCAGGCCCTTTTTCTAGGATGTGTCTTTAACTCCTAGAGGTGCTCGGCAATGGCAGCCAGATGTGGAATGGGCACAGCAGTTCGCGGGTCCCGTCATGTACCCCACTAAGGAATCAGCCCACTGGAAGCCTCCACCTTGGAATGGTGAGTGTCCAGAGCTGCTGTCTCAAACCAGACCAGACCCATCCCTGCCCCAAGCTGAGCTGTAATGGTGTTTCAATCCTTTGTCTCACGCAAGTTTGAGCACCTATTGTGCTTGCTGTTTTAGCATCTGAACATAGTATAGTCAAAGCAATAATAATGGGCACTTGTCAGGCAGAAAAGGACAGAAAGGAGTTTCAGCCAATAGCCAAAAGTCCCTGACATTTCAATATTTAGCAGCATCTTTTTTTTCAAGTTTAGTCCATTTTATTTATTTAGGTACCAAGGGATTGAACTCAGGGCCTTGTGCTTGCCTGGCAGGCACTTTTGCTACTGAGCTATCTCCCAGGCCCCAGTCCATTTTAATAATTTACTTTTGAGACAGTCTCACTGCAGTTCAGGCTGCACTTCAACTCACTATGTAGCCCAGAGTGGCCTCAAACTCTGATCCTCTTGCCTCAACCTCCTGAGTGCTGGAATCACAGGCATGCACCATCATGACCGGCGTGGCTTATTTTCATTTGCCTCTATGGACAATGTTGCTTTTCCATGAGCACTAAAGGACACCTTCTTGAAAACCATTTTTTCTTCCCATCAAAATTAGCACTTCCAGGGGCCAGGGAGATGGCTCAGTAGGATAAGTGCTTCCCTTGCAAGTGCAGGTTCCTGAGTTCAATCCCTGGTTCTGCCAGAAAAAGAAAAAAAAATTAGCACTTCCTTTTGACTTTGATTTTGATGAGTGATACCTTCATTCTCCTAATCCTTCAGGAGTAAAATTTATTTTTGTTTATTTTTTTATTTTAAAATTTATTTTATTTATTTATTTAATTTTATTATTTTTATTTACTTATTTTTGTTTGTTTGTTTGTTTTTGTGGTACCAGGGATTGAACTCAGGACCTTGTACCTGCCAGACAAACACTTACTCTACTGAGCTATCTCCTTGGCCCTTATTTATTTATTTTAAATTTCTTA